TATATATACACATATATATGTGTATATATATATATATGTGTATGTATATATATATATATATGTCTTTGGCCGGCTTCTTGGATTGTCTCTTCAGGACACACAGATTGTCTTCTTGCAGCCATCAGGTTTTTGCTTTAGTGTTCCAGATCAGATCCTTGCTGAAATGAGACAGACTAATTATCATGTGTGTCCCAGGTGTGTGTTATGGGGACACAGGCAGTGAGGTGGAGACAGAGGGGAGCGGCATGCTGCACTGCAGGGTCGGCTCTCTGTTCACCGGCCGCAGCAGCTTCCACCCCGGAGAGCCCCGCGAGGGCCTGGCCGGACACCCAGCAGGTGAGGGGCGTCCGCCCGCAAGCAGCTTCTGTTTGTATTTATTATTAACAGATTCATTTTTTTTATTTTGTCCTGCATACCAAGTGTTCACAAATTAAAAACTATGCCTTTAAACTGGTATTTATGTACATGCATTGATATTAAGGTGTAATAAGGTTGACGATCTTTTCATATACATTGATATATTTTGATACCACATTTGAACTGATTAAATACAAAGCAAAATGCAAAGTACTATAAATAATCAGGACAAGATGCTAATAGCAGTATGAGCTGAGATGAATTTGATGATCGACACAACTAAGCCACGAAAAAAAGTGGATTTTCTAATTATAAACTCAATTATGTGGCATCTCTTATACAAAGGAAACAGCTTGAATAGCTTTTACAAAACACAAAAAGGGAAAAGCAGACAATTAGACAATAATTAATTTGTAAATCACTTACAAAACAGTTACATCATGTTTAAGTATGTTTTCTGTGCAATTAACTTAGTTAGTGAAGTGATTAGCAAGAAGTGTACTTGACAGGCTTTTTCACTGCCACAGCTAGCGTGCAATCTCAAACGAAGAGTCTCAAAATGACGCCAAAGTCGTGGACAGACTTTAAAAATGACCACTTGGAAAGTAACACTTGTTAATTATTTCTCACCAGGTGGCGCAGGTCCGCTTGTCATCTGCTCCGACTGCTACGACAACGCCAACATCTACTCTCGCACACGGGAGTACTGTCCCTACGCCTACCTGGGGGAGGACGACCCGCTGGACAAATCCATACCGGGCCTGAAGGAAAGCTTCGGTGAGCATACTCAGCACGACGCCACGCCACTGGACAGCCTCATTAGCAACCACAACTCCTCCATCTTTCTCACCCCGCACGACAAAAGGCTGAGCAGCCACACTCCCCCGGAGCACTACGCTAATGGTGAGAGTTGGAAATGTTACCTATTAGAGCGAGGTGGTGACACCATCCTTAATCTAGCTGCCAACTATCATGTCCTACCTGCTGAGGTGTTTTTTGATAACACAGTGAATTTCCACCCTCCTGCAGCTACTGAAGAAAGAACGTGTTCTCTCTTTTCTGTGGCTGTTATACAGATTGCAGGCACTCGGGAGAGTTGGCTCTTGGCTTGCTTTTATATACAGTTTACTGAAGCCATTATTTTATATATGAGAGATCACACTTAAAGGTGGGGTATGTAATTTATTTCAGAAACACTTTTTGTTATATACCATGGAATGCTCTTAACATCCCGATAGCAATGAATATCTTAAGTGCTTTGACAAAAAATCTACTGTAAAAAGCACGACCAATCATCTGAGCCGGCCCGGCTAAAACGATTGGATGGCCTACCTGCCGGTCAGCCTTCCATCTGTGCACAAACTTATCTCGTGCCCTCATTGGTCATGTGCGCCTTCGTGTGTGTTGGAGGAGGGGCTCTGTAAGGAAGTCTGAAGGAAGAGGCAGATTTTTTAAATGTTTCAGTATGTTCAAATTCTAGCGCACTCAAGCTGGTTTCTCCAAAATGACCTACCCCACCTTTAAGTGAGATTGTGTTTATTAGGGATATGGATCTTCCAGATATGATCTATTTAGATGTATGGAGCAGCTCGCAGGCTAGAGCTAAATTTATATTCTCTATGGAGGTTAGTTGTGTTAAAGTCAGCTTGGCTAACTTCACGTGACCAAACTCAAAACAAGCTTCTTAAATGGAGTTTACCAATAATGCAAAAAGGGAAAAGTATGTTTTTTTAAGTGTTAAGGAACCTCTCCAAAATGGCTTGTTTTGTCCAACCAACACTTCCAAATCTCAAGCCTTTCGAATATCAGGAATATAAATAATCTAAACCTACAAATCCTCACACTTAAGAAGCTAAAACCAGATTACATTTGGAAATATTGCATGAATCATTACTTAATCAGTGATAGTTAAAAAATCAGCTAGAGGGAGATAATATGTTGGCATCTAACGTCGGTTTACTCGTTTTGCAGATTCTCTCAGCAGGTCCTTCTGGGGAGAAGGGGAAGATCCGTCTTTGAGAGCCCCACCAGGCGCGTCCCCTCACCCGGTGACGGTGCACCGGACCCCCCACCTGGCTGCTGACGGGCCGGAGGAACAGAGGGAGGCAGAATCGGACTGTTTTCCCCGCCAATCCACACAGGACCACAGAAGTGCCTCTAATAGGACTAACCCTCAGGAGCACACTGCTCCCTCATAGGTCCTTACGGCCCGTCCACACAGCGGCGTGCGTTGAAGTTTCAACGCTTCTGCCCATTCACTTTGTGAATGGGGTGACGTCACGCTTCACCGAACTGCATTGTGGGAGCAAAGCGTAGCTTTTCTCGCGGTGCTTGCTGCAAAAAGTTGAGCAATGTTCAACTTTTGAAGCTTCAACGGAAGCGTCAGCCAATCGAATCATATGCCGTTACAATCAAACCGCTGCTCGTGTGTCCGGGGCGGGAGATTCAGGTGATTGGTTGTTGGTCTAGCTTCAGACATGCCCGCCAGAAAGCGACAACGCACGCCGCTGTTTGGACGGGCCGTTACACTCCGCCCACGCTCTGCCTCTGACTCCTCGTTGATGCAACCCCCCCTTCACCCTCTACCTCCAAAGAGACTCCTCACATTCTGCCAAAGATGCTCTCTTGTATGTTTACATTCCCTTTTTTCCCACTCGAGAGGACATATTAACGTTCTCCAGCGTGGAGAGACTGCTGTCATGCTGGAGAAATGGACCAGTGATTTAAATTGACCGTCTCCTCGACACCTCCACCTCTGCAGGAACCTTTCCTCACACATCTTCCACTCTTCTTTGTTCTCTTTCTAGAGAAGGCGATGAATGTATGCTTCAAAGAGCCATGTCGGGCGCTGCCATGACAGAACGCCAAGACATGGTTCAGTCTTAACAAGCTCTCGCTCCTTGGGCCATGCTGCTGGGGGGGCCTGAAGTGTTGTGCCAGTGCTCGTCACACTGGCAGTGTTCTCTCATCATTCCCGGTACAGAAAGCTGTTGAAGCAGCCTTTATTACTTTGTGAAAAAGCACCGATTCCCAAGTGGGTAAAAAGGGGACAAGTGTAGTTCCCTGACCAGCAGTTTGTGGTTGTTGAAAGAACATTAAAGATGCGTCCCACATTCCCGCAGCCATCCCAACTGACTCAAAACTATGCTATCTGACATCTTCTTATGCAAAACCCAGAGACAATGACACCAAAATGTGGTGTATATTATAAATATATATGAATATATCCTATATCATCTTTATCTGATCTTGTTTTTGTCCTATGATGATTCCTTCATTTGATGTCTTTGTAATAATAAGCAGTTAGGGGAGAAAACGTACAATTTCCTTTGCACATGTGACAATCCTGGCTATTTCCTCATGTTTGTCTATCTGATGGCCTTTTTTTCAACAAGCATTCTCAGTGACCTCGATCAGGTGACACGACGGCTTCTACACACAGTATGCACTGATTTCCCTTTATCATACCTTACAGGCACTTAATTTAATGGAGGTAGACGTCATTATGCAGTCTGCATGCTGTTTTACATTGTGAGGATTCATCGCCACAAAGTGATCCTTCCGTAGATTTCTTTAGCCTAGGTTTTCACTCTGGACTGTGAAAAATGAGAATGTATTCTGTTATTTTCTACATGTATGTCTACATAAGGCTAGTTATCTGTTCAATTTCATGTCCTACTAGTTCATTTGCAAGGAAGTTGGAGACAAAAGCTTTAGTATCTTTAAGCTTATTCATTGTATGCCTTTTATTGACCCAGTGTTGGACCTGTGTGCAGGTAACACAATGAACACATTTTCTCTGGAAATGGATGTTATTTCCCTCCCAGCTGAGAGTAATCAAACAGCTGCCAGCTTCAGAAGACTGTACTGTTTCAGACGTTGGATATTAAATTGCTTTGACAATGCCTTTCATTACAGTAGAAGAGCGTGGCTTTGCTTAATCATGTTTGAGGTCATGAGTTTTCCTTAAAACCCTCTAGATTATTGCACTTCAGTATTGCTCAGATGGGATTGACTTTGGCCTTGTATGTGACTCTGAAACTCATATTTGGTCAATTTTAATTTGCCAATTATACTCAGTTGACAGTTTACTAGGAAAATCCAACTAAAATAAATGCTGTCTGATACAGCAGTCCTGCAATAAATCCAACCTTTTATAACGTGTTTTTGTTAATGATCTAAAGGTTTTGATTTTCATTACAGTGGATGTAGCTTGTTGAACTCTATTGATTTATATTGGCAGGGCTTTTTTGTCTGAGAAAATAAGAACACCGTAATTGTATTATAATCAATACAGGGATTATTGCATGGCTGTATAAGACTACATTTGTTTTAGCTAAGCGTACCTTAAAACTGCCAACTGAGTGTATATTGTCGTCATTCTCTGTGAATATAATGTCTGACAACCCATTTGTTTTTTTTATCTGCCATGTTAATAATCAGTACTGCAACATACTGCTCTTGAAATTTGTGACCAAGAAAATATTTGTCATCTCCTTTTCTCCCTCTTTTGTAGACGCCCACTTCAAGGGTACTAAATCAAAGATGCTGAAAATGTAATCTTATTATTATTGTTACTGTTCATATTGATTAGGTTGTGTCGGTACATCCGAGTGGTACGTGCAGATAGGAATTGTTCACTCTTGCACTCTAATTTGACACACTCCCTGCTTCAACGCTTTTTGTCTTCCTGATGTTTTCTGACTGTTGGCCAAGGTCAACCTCGTGCCCCCTTTTAGAAAGATGGAGAAATTCAAATGAAATCTTGCAGTGAGAAGTCATCCGAATGGAGCTACATGTCGCTGGGGCGTTTAGCGATTTTCCGTTCAATATTTTCTGCCAACACAGCACAACATTGTGTGCATATGTATTGCTTTTATTCTCTGATCGTCCTTTATTACTTTATACCAAAGTTAAGTAGTACCTGCTCTGGCGATATCCAATGCTGCTTTTTGATTTTTTAAATTGTTGAAGTTTTGCATTTTGTTTTTAATAGTATTTTTGGACCTTTTGTTAACTTGTACATTCTGTAAAGCATGTCTAAAGAGCCTTTTTGTTACGTAGCCATTACTCTGACATTAAACATGAATTCTGATAATTTGGTTTGGATCGTGAATGTCTGCCTCAACACTCCTCTCAGTTCATACAGTCACTTTCTTTATTGAATATGCTGTTGATTATTTTCTTAGTTACTTTCCACTTGAGGAAAAAGCTCATCACAATTACCCAGAGTCCATGGAGCTCAAAGATATTGATTTTACAATGATATATACAGGCTTGGGAGGGTACATTTAAAAACGTATTAAGTTACAATTACTATTTACCTGTATTTAAATGTAATCAGTAACTTAATCTGAAACTACAGAACTAATATAACCTGATTTACTTTTCGTTACTTTTGGATTACCTCAATAAAATGCAATGGAAGTATAGAGAAAACAAATGACGAGATATTTTTTTACTATTTAATGTGTCCTCTGCAGAGTGATTTAATCAACAGGAAAAACTGCTTTGTATACAATATATTTGTTTTAATCTGCTGTTTGTTAGTTGTTTTAGTAACATTCTTATCCCGCTAGTGATTCCCACATTTTTGAAATGTATCAGTAATCTGATTACATATTTTTTCAACACAGCTACCTCTTTGTTGGGGGATTTTATGTCAAATCGTTATGTAATCCATTACTCCCCAAGCCTGGATATATAGCATCGTAAAAGGCAGGAAATGTTCACATAAACTGTAACAAGTTTATACAGTATTTCTCATGTATTGCTCATCAAACAATAACAAAATGTGGGATTGTTATCAAGTTACCTTTCTGTCCAAAATGAATCCAGTCATTTGTTTCAGATTTCTGGCATGGTTTGTGTTATTACTGAGCAGGGTTTTTTAAAAGAGAACAGAGAAAATGTTCTTGCAGGATTTCATTAAGGTTACATGTAATTGCAGGGCCAGGCACAGGGGTCTTAACCACAGCATGATTTCTGGGCACACCATGGAACGATTTAAAAGGCCAAGCCATCAGTAATCTGTATTTAGTCACGTCAATCCAACACAAAGCCAGCTAATATGGGCCTTAAAAAAAACGTTAGTCCATCACCAGTCTTGACTTACTATCTCAATATATATTTACTTACTATCTCAATATATTGGCTTAGCTATCTCATTATATTGACTTATACATATTTTTTTACTGAAACAATTATGTCAAATACAGAATAAGGCACATAGACATCAATGTACATCATATAAGCGGTACAACTTTATATTAATGTACACAAATTAACCATCAACTAGTTGTTAATTAACATGCATATTAGCAGTATATTGGCTCTTTATTATTATAAAACACTTATTAGTGCCTTATTCTACATGACCCTATTCTACAAGTAATAAGCCATTAGTTGAGAGTTTTTCCTCAATAACCCTCTAATTAGTGCTTATTTATTGCAAGTAAGGAAGTTGTACATGAGCTTTGGTCTTAATATGCTCTCCTCAATATGTCTAAATAACTCAAAATTAGCTATTTCCATCTAAGAACATGTTCCCTATTTTAAAGTGAAATCTTGTTCATAACCAATAAGCTAGTAGTTTGACTCGAATTGACCTGAACAGGTTCACTATTCTAAAGTTGCCTCCTATTCACACTTTGTAAATACATTAGAACACAACTACTGAAATTAACCTCAACAGTACATGAACAAAGTAGGCACACGTTGAACTGTCTGTTTTATTAATGAACCACTAAAGAGAGGTTCAGACACATCCTAAAACACGTCAAGTTTCTCCAAGGCTGAGAACACATATGCAGCCTGTACTTTTTAATAAAACTGATTTTTAACAGAATGTATGTATTTGTTATCATACTGTGTGACCTGCTTGTATGTACTTACACAATAGGTGTACTGTTCTCTCTCTGTGTTGTACTGGCTCAGTGTGCACATAGATTAAACAGCCAGCTAAGTGTTTTAAAATGACTAATAGAGCCAATATACTGCTAATATGCATGTTAATTACTCAACTAGTTGAGGGTGAATTTGTGTACCTTAATATGAAGTTGTACCGCTTATATGATGAACATTGATGTCTATGTGCCTTATTCTGTATTTGACATCATTGTTTCAATTGAAAAAAATATATACACCTATAACTCAATATAATGAGATAGCTAAGTCAATATATTGAGATAGTAAGTCAATATATTGAGATAGCTAAGTCAATATTGACTTACAGGATTTTTACAGGATTTTTTTTTTTCCTGTGGTGCCAACAGGCTTCCATAAAAAAGGCCTCATTTTCAAAGTCCCTCCTACATAAATCCAGCAGAATCCTGGGAAACATTAGAGTTGGATCTGACTGTGCATCAGCATTTTAAAGTGTGCAGTTTGTTTGGATCCCTGCTCCACTCCCCATCAAAGACACGATAGCATTGTTAATCATCCTTCTACACTGCCATGAATTATTCAGCATGGCGTTCAGGGTGGCAAGTCCGTATTTAAACACGGACTTCTAATGCATCACATCCAGAAAACAGAAACAGCTTCATAAATACTACAGATGGTGTGTTCACTGTCTCCTTTTTGAAAGCTACTGTATATAGTCAATTAACTCGACTATATGTTGTTGACATAAGACTGTCATGTGAATCAACTAGCCTAAAACTGTCCAAATATATCATGCTGTATTGGGCGTGTAATTGCAAAAAGCAAACTGAGCCTTATTGAATAATAGCTGTGAAACACGGCTGGTAATCTCCAGAGATGAAGTGACATTTACAAAGATTAATTAACTTTCAAAGCTCAACTTCCATATGCCTTCAGTTTTGCATCATCAAGCTCCAGTTACATTTATCATGAAACCAGCATCAGACAAATGAGCTGTTACATAACAGTGTAGGAAGAAGTACTCAGATCCTTTACTTAAGTACAAATACTACGGTCTTAGAGTATTTCATTGCGAGTAAAAGTCCTGATTTCTACATTTGACTTAAGTAAAACTACAAAAGTATGAGCATCACAAATAAACTTAAAGTACAACATGTAAAGGTACTTGTTCTGCTCAATTATCTGTTTCAGAATAATATCAAGCACATAAGTATTATCAGGTCATTGTACTTCAAGTATCAAAAGTAGTACTTAATTCTCATAGTATTATGTTATTATTTGTATATTATCCTGTTTTTATACATGGAAGAGCATTTCAGTATTGTAGTTTGTCAATGGAGCAATTTAGATATGTGAAATACTTTATAGATCAGTGGTACAGTACTGCATTATACCATGTATGTTTTTGTATGTACAAAGTAGCTAGTAACTATGAGTGTTATATCAATGTAGTGGAGTAAAAAGTACAATATTTGTCTCTGAAATTTAGCCGAGTTTAAGTATGAAGTCGCATTAAATTAAAATACTCAAGTAAAATAAAAATATGTCAAAATAGTATGTAATTTCCACCAATGGTTATGTATCAGTTTGATACCAACACACACAAATTCATGTAAATGTATGTGAACCCTGCGCTCCCAGGCCATGAATATATGTAGGTGGAATGTTGCCTCATGTAAAAGGTCAGATTCACTGCACTGCACCTACATGTATGCTGAATATCCATTAATGAACAGGCTATTCTAAGCATGTTCTGTTCAAACATTTGGAAAACAAAGCCTTGGGTAACAGTCTACTGATAATTACCGAGTAAATCAATTAAAGCTTCTTCCTATAGGCCATGCATGGATAAACGCAGCTGAATGCAACCAAGTGTGATGTCATGTAGGTATTCAAGGGGAAATCAAAGAGCTGAGGAGGGGTGAATCAGAACACTACATGGTTTGATTTCTTACTGTGTCACTAGGTGGCGCTGGGGAGACACTTATTATAATCAACATCTCCAAATATAGTTACCTCACTTTGTGCAAATGATGTCTTAATTAGGTGCCATTAGTTCTGCACGGTTAATGTTAGGGATGTCATGCTCTGCGTGTTTTTACTTAGTCTTTCATGTAAATCTGCCTGGATTTCAGAATCAGTATCAGAATCCTTTTATTCGTCCCACAGAGGGGACATGTACAATGTTACAGCAAAAGTAAAGATAGAGACAAAGAAATAAAGCACTATTATAGGACATGCACATAGTATTTTAAAGACAACATTTAACTTTTTTCAATTTTGAAAGTAGAAATCCGGGTACATTTCTACTTTGAAATCTACCCGGATTTATAAAATAAATTAAGTGTGACATGTAAACAGTGGTCAAAACATATATTTCACAGAGTAACTTACATATTCTTGTTGCAGTGTTAAAATTGTCAAACTAAGAAGGCAGCCAGTAATAATAATAATTCGAACTACGTACATATTCAGTGGTGTAGTTTTTGTTTTCTTGTATTTTTTTCAAGACAGCTAAATGGAAAACAACATCTCCAGATTGTATTTATTTTACGCAAATTAACAATAAGATAGAGTGAACATTCCTGGGCCCACACAATGTTTTTTAATTTAGTACCACAACACACCAGAGGATGGAGCCAGCCAGCACGAGCGTCTCCTCCACACCGCTGCTGCTGAGCGTAAAAGGGGCGTTTCGGAGCTTGGCAGCCTCTCTGCTGGCGGTGCCAGGTGTGTTCAAACCTGTAGCAGACAAACGCACCTCGGAGATGTCTCACGGCTCAGTCACCGTGGGCTGGATCTCCACAGCATAAACCGCCAACCGGTGATTCCTCCGCCCGTCTATTTTCAGCCTGCCCACAGGTACGAGGGATTTCTCGTTGACGCACTACATGTCAGCGACACAATCCACCCCCGAGTGAGTAAAATCCTCTCTGTTTACATTTAGTTTTGACGACTTAGCGTTTGGAGGCTCATCTGGGGATGCGGATATGCTTCAAGAGTAGCGACGGAGAGCATGGCATGAATTATTCCCTTTTAAAAAGCATATAGACGCCATCAACTCTGCAGTTTTACGCACGAGGAGCGCTTGGAATTATTGCTTCCCAGACATCTGTACGGACACCGAGGGATGACAACACCCAGCGGCAGATTCTCGGGTTGAAAAGCAGCTTCCTAAATGTCAGGGAGATGAAATCCCCCTCAGCAGAAGCTCTGGAGAAAAGGAAGGTTTATTAGGCCGCGTCACTTCGCCTTCATTTAACAGCAGCGAACCGAAGACACTGTTAGACCGTTTAGTTGTTCGTGAAAGGGAGTAACCATGTCCCGAACACTGAAGAAGAAGAAACACTGGTCCGGTAAAGTGGTGGAGTGCGCGGTGTCATGGGGGAACCTGGGGGACTTTGGCACCGTGGTGGAGGTTCTGGGTGGAGCAGAGCTGGGCCAGTTCCCATACCTGGGCCAGATGAAGCTGGACGTGCTGGTGTGTCACGTCGGGAAGCTGCCCTACTACGGGGACGTTTTGCTGGAGGTGAACGGGACGCCCGTCAGTGGACTTACAAACCGCGACACCCTGGCTGTCATCCGCCACTTTCGGGAGCCGATACGCCTGAAGACGGTCAAACCAGGTGCGTCTCCTGCTTTCTTTTTACAAACGCTTCCTCCTGCTGCTGTGTCACCTGAGCCCCACCTGTTTGTAAAATTAACGTTGTGATATGTGGCGGTGGCACCCACCAAACACTACAATCCTCATAATCATACACAAAAACATGGGCCCGTATATCCAATCTGTGATCACCTGAGGAAAAACATCCTTTATTAGTATTCAAATCCACTCTTACATGCTCCTTCCTCTATAACTTAGGTGTATTTGTCTCCTTATCGTATATCAACCCATACATGCCAGATTAAGTTCACTAAACCATTTCCAAATCTGATCAAAAGGTAAATACAGTGAGTTAAGCTCCATCCATGTGATCTGTTTTCCACCTGCCAGGGACTGCTAAATCTTGCACATGTACATGATGGTCTTAAGTGCTCTTTAATGTGCATTGAAACTAAATACAAATTCCTGCACACTTCCCATAGATGATATCAAAGACTGCTACTGTAAACCTCCTTCGGTCCCATGCCATCTAATTGGACCATTTTCTCACCGCCTTCTCAGGGAGATCGAGTAGTGATAATGGTAATAATGGCATGTAGCCCAGTTGGAGCCTTCCAGGCTAAGTGCACTTACATGCATAAAAAGAAGGCCTAATTACTTCCTCTGTTATTCCGCTGCCCGTTGGCCACACCAGCCAGAATTGCAGCCCCTTGTCCTTCTGCATCTAGCTCTCCAAAGATGCTGGCTGCAACATCCAAACGCTCTGATAATAATGTCCAATAGCTGTGAAGGTCTGAAGCAGCTGGTTCTTTTTACTGGTGATGGAGATGGCCTTACATTGCTTGTATGCAGGAGCTGGAATGTCTAAACAACATCCGAGTGCAAAAGGTTACATCAGCAGCAGCTGAGTCCCACCTCAGGCCAAGATCCCTGAAGATCAGATGTGCACACGCCTACTTATTGTGTTTGTGGTCTTTTTCTAGGAGTTTCCTGTATTTTCTTAATAAACGTTGTGTTGATTTTGACATATTTTATACGCAAACAAGAGATGAAAGGGGAACATGTTTGCCAAGATAGTGTGTGTGTGTGTGTGTGTGTGTGTGTGTGTGTGTGTGTGTGTGTGTGTGTGTGTGTGTGTGTGTGTGTGTGTGTGTGTGTGTGTGTGTGTGTGGCTATCCCATCCCCAGAGGCCCTAACACCACGCTCTCTGCCCCAATAACCAAGGATGATTAATAAAGGGCAGGGAAAGAGAAGCACAAAGAAACAGAGGGACAGACGAAAAGAGATGGGGAGAAAAATCGGCTCTGCCTTTGGCTCCAGGCTTAACTCCTAGGCTCTTTTTTCCCTCTTTAAATCTCACAGGGAACTAATAGGTGGCAGAGATGGCAAAAATCGTCATCACATTTTCCCTTCTCTGTCACTCTTACCTGTTTGGCCTATTTCCTGCTATATGTAATGTTACAACCATAGACTGTGGTTACAACCAACGTGGATCAGCTTTGCATGGGTCTGTTTGCCTCACAACTCCCCCCCGGCGCTAGCATACATATGGGGTTGTTATATTGTATGATTACATATTGTGCATGTGTGTACGTCTGCGCTGTGTGTATACATCCCTGTGTGGAAGCCTCATGTTTAATTCACACCTCTTGCATAATTGAGTTAGCGAGTGGATTTGCTACAGCCTGATGGAGGCAGTGGGCCTGGAGGATCAGCTGTTACCAGGAAGCCCGGGAATCTGCGATTGACATGACGGCGCCCCGGCAGCGATGGACAGCCTCTCTCGGTCTACCAGATGTGCCCCCCCCTGAACTCTTCCCAAGATCCTCTTGTGCTCCGCCTGCCTTCCCTCTGGTGCTGGTGCGCTTTGCTCCTGCTGCTGACATCTGGGAGGAGCAGAAGAGGTTGTACTAAAAAGACTGAAACCTTGACTTTAATTAAATGTATTATGGCACCACATTTCACATAACTGTATAAGGTTAGTTAAAAGCAATAATATTAAGTTGAACCGTTATTTAAACTTAATATTATTATTACATTTATGCGAAATCTGTTGACACAATGCATTTAATTAAAGTCAACACCTCAGTTGTTTCTGTATAGAGAGGGTGCAAAAACCAGAAATGGGGATTTGAGGCATCGATAGGGAGACAGGATGCAAGATACAAGTCTATGGAGGCTATTATCTATCTGAGCCATTGATCGAAACTGAAAGAGTTGAACACAGCACTCACTTTCTGCTTCTGGCGCATCATATACTCCCCAAGGGCCGCCAAGAGGCTTCTCTCACATGCATACATCCTCACGTAGATACCTTTTTACTGTTGGAAAGGAGGAGGTTCACACCTACACCAAGACTTCACAATGTACCGTGAGGTGCTCATTTCCATGTTATCTTTGATTAAGCTGAGAGATGCCTCTATTAAAAGCCCGGCTCTGTGCTCGGTACAGGAATCTATTTGTGCCCGTACCCCCAGCTAAGAATCGGAGGAAAAAAAGATGCGTGATGAAAAGCTTCATGAATGGCATCCCAGAATTCCTTTTTTCTGCTGCTCGGTTATTTTCTGCTGTGCCTCCTATATGTTTGAAGCTTCAATCACGGTGCAATCAAAGGATACATACAACCTGTAGCCATTTATCTGCAGCTGAATGGATGATGTCTCTGACATCAAATGAATAATTCCTCAGTGCAGTAACACAGTGCAGCTAGTGAAGCACGCTTTCATTTGATGATTTAAATTTGCTATGTGAATGTGGAAGCGCATGTGTACAAGCCCTCTTTTTAAATGCGTTGCTCTGCAGAGTCATAGCTGTTTGTGTCTCAGTCAGACAGCTAGGTTATTTTTTGTAATATGATCATGAAATCTAACCAGTCACCAGATTGCAGGTATATTTAATTACAATTGTAAATAATTAATAAACTCAAACACCTTCGGGGTTGTTGAGATAACAGCATTTTTTTCAGAATCAGAATCAGAGTACCTTTATTAGTCCCACAGAGGGGAAATTTGCAGCGTTACAGCAGGAAAGAGCCACAGACAGTTTAGTGTTGCATATCTTACATGCGTTAAAAAAAGTACTAAGTTATAATATAATAAACAATATGCTAAAAAAGTACTAAGTTATAATATAATAAACAATATGCTAAAAAAGTACTAAGTTATAATATAATAAACAATATGCTAAAAAAGTACTAAGTTATAATATAATAAACAATATGCTAAAAAAAGATAAAAAGTTACATAATTTTCAAAAATACAGACCAAAAACAAATCAAATCTACAAATCAAATCCTGTAGCAGTTCTTAGGATTTAACAGCCCGGTATATATTACAGTTATTACAGATGGCATATTTATATAAAGTATATATTGCACATATTGCACATAGTTTGACGGTATTTAACAGCAGCAAGTTACACAATCTACAAAATACAAGATACCTTGTAACAGTAACAAGGGTTTAGCAGCAGGTATAAATTACACAGTTATTAATGGCATATATATATATTGATTTAGTGGCCAGGTATAAATTACACAGTTATTAATGGCATATATATATATTGCACATATAGCACATATTGCACCAAGTTGGTTTGTATTTAGCAGCAAGGGGGTGTTATAGTCTGTGTTGTGGTGTGTGTAGGGGGGTCTACTTGGGGCAGTGCTGGTTGTAAAGTCTGACCGCTGCAGGAAGGAAGGACCTGCGGTATCTCTCCGTGTGACAGGTGGGGTGCAGCAGCCTGTCGCTGAAGGTGCTGCAGTGAGGACAGGGTGTCCTGGAGGGGGTGGGACATATTGCCCAGCAGGGAGGACAGCTTGGCTGCCATTCTCCTGTCTCCCACCACCTCCACAGTGTCCAGAGGACTCCCCAGGACAGAGCTGGCCTTCCTTACCAGTCTGTTCAGTCTCTTCCCGTCAGCAACCGAGATGCTGCTGCCCCAGCAGGCCACACCATAGAAAAATGGCTGATGCCACAACAGAGTCAAAGAAGGTCTGAATGGGATCAGTACTGTCTCGCTAACTATCTGCTATCTGTCGTGCCTTCT